AAGACTCGAGGTCTAGACAGACCAATCTGAGAGCAGCCTGGATTGACCTTAGGAAAAGCCTTTAATTCAATGAACAGTGGAGCCAGCGGAGAGGCTTCAAGAGATCCCAGGACCAACATCAGAGCTCTCCAGAAGAGTGCAGTGAATAGCTAAGATACTGCACAGAACCGTCAAATTCCAGGCTTCTAGTAGACCAGAGGACCCAAGATTGAGGAAGACACATACTACACACAGGGTGAGAAGAGGTTTATTTATTTATTGAGAAAGAGAGAAGAGAGAGAGAAGAAAAACTGGATGTTTATATCTAAAATGTATAAAAGAATTATAATTTTGCACTCGTGAACTGAATGACAGATCTATTAAATATTTTCTATTTATGAAACAAGTGTTGTTTCATGTTTTTAAAATGAAAGTCACAAGATATTAGTAATAGTGCAATGATGTACTTTCTATAAAAAGATGCTAAGTATACTGACAAAGCTAACATGATTATGATATATGGTTTTAAATATGACAAATCTTAGTCTAAAGTATAATGTATTATCTTGCAAACCTAATTTGCCTGATTTCCTAATTTGCCTTCATAGAAGCATTAGTCAGCATTACTACATCTTAGTTTAAATCAAGATTAATATTATTTTGTAAGAAGAAAAATAAACAAGTACATTATTTTAAGTGGCAGCATCTTATTTTTTTTTAAGTCCCAATTTTTAGTTTATCATCCTGCAAGCAGAACATAAGGAGAATATATTTCCTACCCATATAATGAGGCCACACAGTCTTTTATCAACTGTTTAAGAATTACCAAAATCCAATCTTTTTAAATATTTCATTAATTTATTAAAACATTGGACACGGTGTGATCGTCCTGACATTCCTTTTTGTCATACATGTTATAATATGTAATACATATTTTATATACATTTACACATTTGTACAGTTAGTTTTTATCTGTGATTACCTCTTCTACAAATCCTGTTTATTTTTTTATTCTGGATCCTTCCTTTCTTTTCCCACCATTGATAAAATTCATTCCATATCTAGTATTCTGTCTCATTCTTATTTTTTAATTCCAGAGTCAATCTATCCATTTCAGCACATATCAATATCTTCTTTATCACTTCACCTTCATCGGGAATTTCTCTATTTTTCCATTTTTGGGCAAAAGTCATTCTTGCTGCTGTGAAGATGTGTATTATTAGATAAATCTCCTCTTTATTATATTTTTCTGTCATAATTCAAAGTAAAAATAATTCCGGTTTATAATCTATCTTCTGTCCAGTGATCTCCTCTAACCAAGCACAAATGGGATCACTTTTGCTATATTACTATTTTCTTCTCAGTCATAGGTCTTTGAATTGATCTTGCAGCAATTTTAAGCCTAAGGAAATGTAAGTGGAATGATTCAATTTCAAAGATTCAGAGTGCACATATGCATGAATGTTGTACCTGCCAGCTAATTCTTAATGGACCTGTATCTTCTCATAAGATCACGGTGGAGAAGCCATTGATTTAAGGAGATGCAATATGCATACATATGCATACTCTAAATCAGTTTTCCCCTTTGAAACCGGAGCACTGCATAGCCTTATTATATTGCTTAATCTGATGCAGAACAGACCTGGTTCTGGACAGAATGCTAATTCAGGGTTTCATCAGTTTAATAGGGATTAGTTGAACCTCAAATCATACTTTTAATTTTTTTTTCTTTTGCACTTGAGTTTATAAATTTTGACTTGCTTTAAACATGCTTTTATGTCCAGGGGCAGATCTCTGGCTTATTTCTGGTGTGTCTGGATGTTGTTCCCAAGTCAGAACAGCAAAGAAAATACAGCTAAAACTAAGACTGCTGAAAATCTGCATGGGTTCTCTTGCTTGTCTTCCCCACCAAACTTAAGGAAATGGTGAGGATTAGGTTTCCAAATATGAAATTGCACAGTTAGTCCCACAAAGCACAACCATTTTTAATTCCATAAACAGGGAAGTGATGTTGCTGAGAAAGAGACATAGACTCTTTACATAAAAACTCAACATCACAGAGACAAAGCATGTTGCACCAAAGAACTTTCTGCACAAATACTGCTCCAAGCCATAGTACTCTACTCTGCTAAAAATTGTATCAATGCTGCCCAAAATATTTTATTTAAAAATAATAATGAAATAGACACACACTGTGAGAGCACACTAGACAAAAAACTGAGAGCCAGTGTGAGGTAGTGGTTAAGGCATCAGGCTAGAAACTAGGGGATTCTATTCCCACCTTAAGCACAAACACAGCTGGGCCAGTGCCTGTCTCTCAGCCCTGAGAAGATGGCAAACCACTTCCCAAAAGCCTTGTTGGGAAAATTGCAAGGACCAATCCAAGCAATTGCCAGGAGTCAATAATGACACAAAGACAATAGGAATAGCACCTAGACTTATATACTGCTTCACAGTGCTTTACAGCCCTCTCTAATCGGGTTTACAGAGACAGCCTATTGCCCCCAACAATCTGGGTCCTCGCTTTACCCACCTCGGAAGGATGGAAGGCTGAGTCAACCTTGAGCTGGTCAGGATTGAACTACTGCTAACTCTGTAAGCTTTTAAGCTCTGTAAACTATTGTAAGCTCAAGGACTTACAATAGTTTGTTTTCAGTGGTGGGATTCAAATTTTTTTTTACTACCAGTTCTGTGGGCATGGCTTGGTGGGCATGGCAGGGGAAGGATACTGTAAAATCTCCAGTCAGGGGTGGTATTTGCCGGTTCTCCGAACTATTCAAAATTTCTGCTACCGGTTCTCTAGAACTGGTCAGAACCTGCTGAATACCACCTCTGGTTCGTTTAGTGACCGAAGTTACAACGGCACTAAAAATAGAGACTGTTTTTCACATTTACAACCGCAGCATTCCTATTGTCACGTGATCAAAATTCAGATGCTTGGCAAATGGCTTATATTTATGAGGGTTGCAATGGCCTGGAATCACGTGATCCTCTTTTGCGGCCTTCTGACAATCAAAGTCAATTGGGAAGCCAGACTCTCTTAACCAGATCACTACCTTAATAACTACAATGATTCACTTAACAATGGTGGCAAGAAAAGTTGTAAAATGGGACAAAATTCACTTAACAGATGTTTCACTTAGCAACAAAAATATTGTGGCTCAATTGTGTGTAGAGTTGTAATTGCAGGAATGTTCCAAATCTCGGATGGCAAACCGCAGATAAAGAATGTTTCCAAGCAAATACAACTCAGGTGAACAAAGTCACTAATCTAAAGGAGGATTAGAGAGAGGAAGTAAATATATGTTAGACTTTAACTAGAGATAATTAATTACTGTGCTAAACAGTAACGAAAGTTAAGCAGTAACCAAAGTTAACCAGTGATGGAGGATAACTAAAAATGTGTATAAATGCAAGACTAGACTCCAATAAAGATCATCGTGATTCAGTTGTTCATGATCAAACAACTCGACTGCCTCGTCATTACAATTGTGGTCATAAATCGAGGACTACCTGTACTGCATTCTAACCACAGTGCCATCACGGTTCCTTACATACAATCACACACACACACACACACTCACACAAATATAAATGCATAGCTACTTTCTCCCCATAAAAACAAAGGAAAGAAAAACCCTCCCTCACCATACAACTGCTAAAAATATATCCCCAAAGAAACAATATTAAAAAGCAAACGTCTACAAACATAATCATAATAGTCCTTTAAAGCTGCTGATTATGAATGTAAAGAAATTGTCTTAATATTGCTGAACCACCAGCATCTCTCAATATTAACGTGGTAGTTTCACAACATCTGGAGGGCTGATTTTCCACTGCTACTTTATGACATTTAGGAAAGCACTGTGAAAATTTTCTTAGGCTTACTCTAAGTGGAAGAAGCCAAATTCTCTAGCTCAGATGATATGCTTGACAAACCATGGACAGAACTGATTACAATTCATTAGTCTCATCCCCTTCTAAGAATAACCAGGGTTATTCTTAACCTCTGAATAAGGATTTCCTAAATCAGAAACAAAATGCACTGAAAGTCATTTGCTCCTAGATTTTCTCAGATTAAAGAGAATCCTAAAAAATAAGGTAATAAGGTAGCAATTCAATCCCTATAAACTAAGAATGAATCTCTATTAATAGTTAATGACAATGTCAATTGTACCTTGTTGTATACAGGCCTGGGCAACAGCAAAGAGTTCAGGTGACTTTTCTTCTAGCAACTGCTGGTGGAGATTAATACATCGCAGTGTCCACCAGGGCAATGTCTGAAAGTGAGAGAAAAAATATATTTTCAAACGTCAGATCCACTTATCTCGCTTTGGTTTTATTTCATGCACATGGCACTTAAACAGTGTTTAACAGTGAGAAGATTTGAAAAAGATCTTAACCCTAACCCTGTAGTCTAGATCAAATATGGGTGGGTTTTTTTTTTTAGTATTTGCCATTTGAATTGTCGCTACCTTTTGTTTTAATTTGTACCTTCGTATTTTTACATTAACGCCTTTGAGCAATCCCTGAACAAAGAAGTGGAACATAAATCCAATCAATAAATAATGACGCACAACTCGGAGGCAGAACATTTGATTTTTTGTCTGAAAATGCCAAGTTTAGTCACAGTCCAGGGAGAACTCAGAAAAGTTCACAAGGGGCTCACCAGGATATGAAGTATGACAAAGTGAGCTACAAAGGCAAATGGATCAATCAAATTTAAAGGACCTTCCAATATTCAAAATATTATTTGGCATCTACGTGCTTGCATTAGTTTCCTATGACTGTGAGAGACTAAAATAACATCTAAAAGAAGCATAGCCTGAAAAACATGGGTGATTCCTTGACCCTTTAATGGTTCCTAATTTGGAAAGAAGAACAATTATTCAATCATGTTTTTCTTTACCTGAATAGCTTCTAGCTTGTTTCTGGAATTCACAAGGATGACTCTAGCTAGCATCAACAAGATAGGTTGGGAGGCCAAGCTGTATATTGATTCACCATCTAGAACCAGCATTCCTAAGATAGCAGTTGACAATGCACTGGTCTGGAAACAGTAAAAAAGAAAGTCATATTAGTTGCATTATTTTAGAAGACACAATAACATCCATGTTAAAGCACTTCAGTTTAGTGGCTGTGTACAGATAGTCCTCAACTTATGATGGTAGTTGAGCCTGGAATTACAGTTGTTAAGTCATGGCATCATATAACCAGATCTGATTTTTTTTACATTCTTTGCAACTATTGTTAAGTGAACACCATGATTTAATGGAACCAATTTTCCACAATGGGCATTTTTTTGCCAGAAACCAGAAATAAACACTGGAAATCAGCAAAACAGAATACAAATTGCAGTTGCAGGACACTGCAAACAACCATAAAAGGGAGCCAACTGCCAAGCACCCAAAACACAACCAAGCAACTGTGGGATACGTATGTGCAGCCGTCGTAACTGCAAAAATGGGTTGTAAGTAGCTTTTGGGAGCATCCATCATAATTTTGAACAGTTAAGTGACCTGTTGTAAGTCGAGAACTACCTGTAATGCTTTGGATTCAGTTTCAAAGAGATCCTTTGGAGCAAATGGAAGACAAAGGCAGCATCTGTCTGCAACTCACAAATGACATGCGACTGCTTCATATTGCTACATTACTATGATAATTACTACAGGTAATTACTATGATAATTACTACACGTCATCCTCTCCTTTACTGCCATCTCTGCCATGCTGGCACTGGCACTGGGGGAAAAGCTCATATAGGAGGGGAACCACCTTCTTTGAATGGTTCACTTTTTTGGCTGCTTCACATTCTTCCTTAGAGTCTGCACAAGTGCATACGTGATAAATGGCAATACTTTCACCACAATAGTTATGTTTGAGTAGGATTAAAGAAACAACCTGGGAGACTCTCAAAGCAGCTGGACCAAACTTTCTAGAGGAGAGGAAGGGGACTGTTAAAATGCATTGAAAATGGGAATTTTGCAAGCATCCCTGCAAATGCTCTGCATAGCCTATTACCTCACTTATTCTGAGTCACCTAGCTTTAGCTATATCCAAAGTTAGTTAAATTCTCCTTGCATAACAAATCTGCCCCAAAGGGAAGGTTTCACAGGGAAGGAGAATCCAATCTACCAGCAATGACTGTTCACCTAATTTAAATGGTGATGGTAGGGGAAACATACCGGCATGGTATTAGTTAGGAGAAAGAAACAATGTCAAATAATGACAATGAAGGGATTGTACAGTTAAAAGAAAACTAAATCTTCTATTGCATATTCGGAGACAATTCAAAGAATCAGATAATTCATCCGGAAGAAGCACCTGTCCCATCAGCAGAACATCACTGGATCCAATCCAAATTACCTGGTTTACCAATACAGACCAGAAAACTGTCCTACATACCACTAACAATTAATAGCGCAGATAGGAATTGTAATAAACAAATTGTGAGATTGTTTAACAACTAAACCTTCAAATATAACCAAAGGAGAATGTACTGTAAAGACCAAAGATCAACCTAAATAGTTTACTATTATAATTTATGTTTATCACTTTTCCTTTCTTAGCATCATATATTTATGTTTAAATCTGAAATAAATAAAAAGGGTATGTATAACATTAGCCGGCAATTTGCCATTTTTCTAGTACTAAAAGAAGCATTTTTCAGTCACACAACTATTTGAAGTTGGAGGGAAAATACCTCATTATATTGTTGCAATATTTCAGGTGGAAGAAAATCCTGAGGTTGTAAGTCAACAGGAGGTCCAGTCCAGTTGCTCTGCGCAAACAGCTGTAAACTTCCTACACCAAGGAGGAACACCACACTTTGCCTGGAATACACATGAAGATGTTGTGTTTATATAAACTTGAATACAGAACAGAAATTTGTCATTCTTTAATAACTAACCTATAGTTTACATAGAACATTTTAGAACAGGGGTCCCCAACCACCGGGCCGCGGACCGGTACCGGGCCGTGGAGCACTCTTTACCGGGCCGCAAAGAAAAAAAAATAAAAAAAAATGGCGGCTTTCTTTGCCTTCGGTGAATGCTGCTGGGATCGGGGATCAAGGACACAAATGAAAGAAGGGGAGGGAGGAAGCAACCGAAGCCTGTCCTGCTCTCTCAGTCGCTTTCTCGCTCCTCCACCAGCCCAGGAAGAAACTGCTTCAAAGAAGCCAGGGGGTGGGGTGGCTTTTCCTGTCGCCGCAGCTTCCCCGAAGCGCCCGTTTCACCCCCACCCCGCCCGCCCGCTCGCTCGCGGTTCAATCCACAGTGCTCCGTTCTGCCTGCCTGCCTGTCTGGTTGTTTGGGAGCAGCTTCGGCTGAGAATAATAACTATTCGCCTCTTTTTATCAGCCGAAGCTGCTCCGAAACGAAGAAGGCAGGCAGGCAGGCAGGTAGAACGGAGCACTGTGGATTGAACCGCGAGCGGGCGGGCGGGCGGGGTGGGGGTGAAACGGGCGCTTTGGGGAAGCTGTGGCGACAGGAAAAGCCACCCCACCCCCGGCTTCTTGGGCTGCTGGAGGAGCGATAGAGTGACTGAGAGAGGAACGAGGCAGACACCTGAGGGAGGGAGGGAGGGAGGGAGACACCTGAGGGATGGGGCTGAGGGAGGCAGGGCCGAGGCGCTCCCTGAACTTGGTGGTTTGCTGGCAGACGTTTTATTACCCGACTAGGTAACAACATCAGATGTTACCTAGTCAGGTAATGAAACGTCTGCAAGCAAACCACCAAACTCGGATTCTCTCCCCCCCCCCCCCCGGTCCTTGAAAAAATGTTTCTGCTTGAAACCAGTCCCTGGTACAAAAAAGGTTGGGGACCACTGTTTTAGAAGATGTTGACAAAATAAAACATTTGGTGAATGTCTAAGAGCAGACAGCCTGTTTTTAAATATAGGTAGTCTTCAACTTACAATCATTCATTTAGTGAGCATTTGAAGATACAATAGCCCTGAAAAAGTGACTTATGATTAGTACTTGCACTTATAGCTGTTACAACATCCCATAATCACATGATCAACATTTGGGTGCTTAGCAACTGGCATGTATTTATGTCAGTTGCAGTGTCCAAGGGTCACGTGATCTTCATTTGTGTCTTTCCCAGCCAGCTTACAACAAGCAAAGTCAACATTCCTCTTTACCATGGTTTCCTTTTAAGTCTCCTGATTGCTGAGAATAGCCTGAGGAGAAATATCTTCTGGCCTCCATTCAGGTATCCTTGGATACAGTTGATTAATTACAAGGCATACAATTTCCTAAAATTTCAGAAGTACTAGAAAAGCCAACAATTATTTTGGCTATATCAAGGAAATTGAAGTCTGTCTTTCACTAATTAATGTGGAAGAAGAACAGGCTAAGATGGAAGGTAGACCTGTTAATAAGTTTGGAATCATTGCACTGCAACAATATTTATTGCATTTGAAATTTTAGAACAATCCTAACTCTGTGCATGTATATCATTAGATACAGTCTATAATGAAATGAGATGATAAATGAAATTTATGATTTCATAACTGGCAATATTTTCATATGCCTTTCTTTGTGGAAATCTACCAAGAACTACTAAATCAGAATGGTGAAGAAAACTAAAAAATTATGTAACTAGACAAGGCATAAAAGGAACTCTTGAAAGTGTGTGAATACAACACACCTCATATCTAAGTCTCCCTTAAGAGTCCTTTCAGACATAAGATTAATATCTCAAGTTACTATAATTACTACAATTCATTCAAATCATTAAACCACCAAATACTAATTTGACAGACAAAATTCATATCACACTTAGTTTTGAGTTACTGTGAAACATGTGACTAGCCATTTAACAAGCCATGATTAAACAAATTATGTCTTGATGTCATGCATAAATTCAGCCAAAACATTTATCTTTGAGGTGAATATTTGGTTTTGGTGAGGCTTGAATGTACAAGAATGGCTAGCTGAAAGATAGCAGAACGAAGCTAAAGGAAATGCATCTTCATTTTTTTCAGTAATGTTACAGGTGAAATATCAAGCCCAAACCATAAACTGAGCATATAATATTAAGTATAAACAAGGAATGTTTATTTATTCAATGGTATTTTAATTACATGTAATACAGTCTGGGCAAAACCAACAAATGGATATAGTGACTGAAAAGGACAAAACTCAGAAATCTCACATTACTAAAGTTTTCAGGTACAGTTTCTAGTAAAATGTGAAGATATGAACATGGAGTAGGTATATCTCCTTTCTCCTGAAACTCAGGCTACTAAATTAAAGAACAATGGAAAAAGCAAGATGGGAAGCCTACTTTGGGCATTTAAAGCAAACATAATTTTCTATTATCGCAAATCTTTAACAATGCGTGTCCTAATTCACCCCATGAAGCTAACTCCTTAGCATATTATATTTTTCATTACTGTAGTAACAACAGGGAGGGAATGAGCTACTCCCACATTACAGCTGAAGCCAATAAAAACAACACTGAACACCACAATACTTATAATACACATTCTGAATATCCCAAAGGTGCTTTTCCAAAAGGCAGCTGGACTTGTTTTTTTTCTTTAAAAACGTTTCACTTCTCAACCAAGAAGCTTCTTCAGATCTGAAGAAGGAAAAACCAAGAAAGTCCAGCTGCCTTTTGGAAAAGCATCTTTGGGACAACCGTGACCTGGATGACTGAGAATCTCCATAGACACATTCTGAATATTTTCTGAGATCATTTGAAATTGGGCATTGGAGGGGGGATGTATTGTGGTTCAAATGCAAGCAAAGCATTGTTCTTCTCAAAACAATTTACCTTTCAATAGAATCTATGTCTGCTGAAGAACAATCTAGGTAAGCTTGTATCTGCTTTTCCAGGTAGTTTTCAATGGTGTCCTCTTTTCCTGAAGACATGGTGAAGACATTCTGGACTGCTTTACTTAGAAAGATGGATTCATAATTCCCTTCCAACAACAACTGCAATAATGATCCACTTTCTGAAAATTAAAGTAATGAGAGTGAGTGATTTATATGTGTCCTGCATTTTACATGATTATCTGACATTTGGACATTTCCCAACAGGGAAAAGAATTGTATACAGTTCTCAAAAATGTCCATTTCTGTCAACTCTATTAGAAAACTAGTCATATCTAATTTTTATCCTATATTTACTGAACAAGTACTAAGCCCAAAAGGAAGTAGTGGATAAACAAGAGTATCCATAAATAACAAGAAGTCTAATGAATGTGATTTGTCATCTCATTTGTTCTTAAATACTTTTTGCAAAATTAATTACCTTTTTTCAAGTTGTATTATCCCCCTTTTTTTCAAGTTGTATTATCCCCTTCAGTGGGGAAAATTTTCAATATAACCAATAATCATATAATCAAACACAATAATCATCTAGGTCTGCCAATACTAGTACTCTGGAAAAAGTATAAATGAGGAAGTTTACATTAGCAAAAATACATTAGAAATGCAAGCTGAGATCCAATTATTGTCTTCAGAGTTGGTGCAAAAGGCAAGTAAAGGGTACTGTATACTGGCCATACTCAATATGACAATTCAACCCCTTTGGTCCGTGGTGTCTAACAGAAGAGGGTTTATTAGATCTATTGGAACTGAAATGAATACTAATATAACGACAGTTATATTAGTCACTCAATCAAGAAGAATCAAAAACAGTTTGAATTGAAAAGAGATTTCTATCACAGATTCAATAAGAGGAAGATAAATGTTTAAATGCAAAGTCAAAAGACATTATTATCAGAGGTGGTATTTAGCAGGCTCTGACCAGTTCTGGAGAACTAGTAGTGCAAATACTACCTCTGACTGGCCCCGCCCCCATCTATTCTCTGCCTCCCGAGTCCCAGCTAATCGGCTGGGTCTTCTTTTGTTGCCCTGCACAGGAGAATAGAGCTTGAAAGTAGGTTAGTGGGGTGTTGAGGGAATGAGATTTTGCCGTAATCTTCCCCCAGGAGTGGGATGGGAATGGAGATTTTACAGTATCCTTCCCCTGCCACACCCACCAAGCCACGCCCATAGAATCAGTAGTAAAAAAAAATTGAATCCCACCACTGATTATTATGTGCTTAAGTGTAGCCAAAAAAAAAGGAGGGTGCTGTTATCTGGGTTTAGAAACCTCAACACGACAGTTATATTAGTCACTGAGGCTTTGGCACATGAATTGTCTGTCTTCTTTATGGGAGGAGGAAGGGAAAAGAGAGAGTCATTTGGACCCTGATCGTCTTGGCTTTGGATGGAATAGCCTCCAGTATATGCTGGAATAGAATATATTTCTATTTTGTGTGTGTGTGTGTGTGTGTGTGTGTGTGTGTGTGTAAAATATATATTATTTTATACACACACACATACTGGAATAGAATATATTTCTATTTTCATATATGTGTGTGTGTGTATTACACACACACATATATACTGGAATAGAATATATTTCTATTTTCATGTGTGTGTATGTGTTTGTGTATGTATTACATACACACACACACATTTGAATATTTCTATTAGAATATATAATTAGAATAGTGTCTGCCTAGCTGGAATCACCAATCCAGACCCTTACCTGTAAGGCATCTATCCCCATCCCCGCTCTACCTCCGTAAACCTTCCCAACTTTCAGGGAGGGGATTAGTTTTCCCGATGGATTAGCTGTCTTTTAAGAAACCACAGAAACATGTTGCATTGGCAAGATGCATCGAAAGCCTAAGAGGTATTAGGTAAAGAGGAAAGGGGGGGGGGGGGGGGGAAATAGAAAGAAGGAAGGCCCGCCCTCCCTTCTCTCCTTCTGCCTAAACCCAGAGCAGCTGCGGAGAGCCACCGTGGCAAGCAAGCAGGCAGGCAGAGCCAGCCCAGCAAGGAAGGTGCCCGACCTGGCTTACCTGCCGCCGAAGCTGCCTCGCTCTGTTTCCACCGCGGGGATTCCGCCGCGCTGGGGAAGCCCCTCAGCAACACCCGCTCCAGCGCTCGCATGTTCCCCGTTATTCGATGCCCGGAAAAGGAAAGGAGGCGGGGAGGGAGGAGAGAGAGAGAGAGAGAAAGAAAGAAAGAGAAAACGCGGCCGCTTCTCCCTACGCGAGGCGAAAACCCATGTGCGTCCAGCGGCTGATGGGAGCCGCCATGCCAAGCCGCGCTAAGTTCCCTGGGAGAAGGAGGCACCTCCGTAGCAACCCCGAGCAGACACGCAGTCCTGGCGGAAGAGCTTGTGGGCTAGGCGCCGCTTTTTGGCGGACAGGTTTTGTGCGTCTTTCCTCCGAAAGAAAGGCGAGCCTGAGCTTCTCCCGGGCACCACGGACTCCCAGGTAGAGGGACGCCTTGCTCTGGAGCAGTGTTGTCGTAATCCTACTTTAGACAGTCCTGCGGTGCTATTTCTCTTTGAAGGCGCGCCGGCACGTCCCTTGCTTCCCCACTCCTTTATATCAGCTTCTGCCTTCTTGATATATTAGTCCAGTTGATATATATAGGCAGCCCTAAACAACTTTTCAGGGTATTCCGCTTGAGGTATTTGCATCCCCTTTAAAAGGAATACATTGGAACTGCATTGAGGGGCCAGCCTCTATTGTTCGTTGAGACACGGTGGTGGTTCTAAAAATATAACTAAAAGCAGCAGCAGTAGTAACGCAATTCTGTGTATATCTGCTCCAAGGGCTCTGCTCTGTTTTTCTAACAGGATGTGTGATGTCCAAAATCAGCGACTGATAACTCAGTAGCATGTCTGAATGCGTAAAATTATGGGAAATGTCTTCAGTTGTGGGAGAAGGGCTCCAGCAGATTTATTTAATAAATTTATATGCCACCCATCATACTGTCCAGTGACTCTTGTTAATGTCAGTCGGAAAGTCCTCACACACACAAAATCTGAAGCAACTGAGTTATAATTATGCTTAAGGGAATGAAATGTGTTCACCTATTCTGGATTATTTTTTTCAAGCCTCTCAATAAGAGCCAGTTTGGTCTTGTGGTTAAGGCACCAGACTAGATAGCTAGAGACCATAAATTCCCATTTACCCATGAAAGCCAATTGGGTGACCTTGAGCCAGTTATTCTCTCAGCCCAACCCCCCTCACAGGGTTGTTGTGAGGTGAATAGAAGGAGAAAGTAGTATAGAATTTATAACAATAGTAAAAGTGGGTTAAAAATAAACAATGGAATTGTAACATGTAAGATTTGAAATGGATCATTAATTCCAATTCCTGCTCAGTGAGAAATCATGCTACAATATCTGACAGATGAATATCCAACCTCTGTTTAAGCACCAAAGAAGAAAAGTCCATCCCTTCCCTTCTTTTTCATTGTTGAACAGCTCTTACCATTAACTTTTTTTTAGAAGTCCAGCCAAAACATATTTTCTTGTTCTTTAAACTCATTAAGTCTTGTCTTCTGGAACAATTCTGGAGGCTCAGCCAATCTCATTGTACACATGTTGTGCTCTGACAATAAAGGTAATAATAATATTATAATAATAATAATAATAATAATAATAATAATAATAATAATAATAATAATAATAATAACAACAACAACAACAACAACAACAACAACAACAACAACAACAACTGAATAATTCTACCTCATCTCTGTGTGTCAGCCTTTTAGACTCATCAGAAGTGATCATGTCTTCCCAGACATCAGACTAAACATACCCCATTCGATCATTCCTGAATTTTTGTTTGTTTATTTCAGGACTCTTATCATATTGACTGCTCTGCTTTGGATATATTGTCATTTGTCAATGTCATTCCTAAACAGAACTGGACACAATATCCTGGGTAAAATCAAACATTTAATAGAGGGGAATTATAATTTCTGAACTTGATGTACTTTTGTTGATGCCATCAAAGATTTGAATTTGCATTGTCAGTAGCTGCACTACATTACTGGCTTATGATCTACTAAGGCACCAGATAGTTTTTACATGTACTGCTGCCCAATGTGATTCCTCTGACCCCAATCTTTTGGTTTTAATTTTCTTAACAAAATATAAATATCCTCCTGAACCTTGGTAATGTTCTGTGTGGTTATTTGTTAGCATATTGTTCTATTTATCTGATCTGCAAAGTTGATAATATTTTCTAACCCTCATCCAAACAATTTATGAATGTTGAACAGCAGTCATAGAAAGAAGATTTATTTAATACTACTCTTCATCTTGACATGAAGCTGTATGTACACTCTTTGGGCACAATGCCCTTAATGGTAGCATAGTGCAGCCCACTTTTTATTGGGTTTTTTTTTTACTATGATCTCATGAGATACTTTGTTGAATATTTTGCTAAAAACAGGAAATGCTGTGTCACTCTACTGCATTCTGATGGTCAGTTAAATAGTTCATTCTGTTATAAGTGTTCGTGTTGGTTTGGCATAATTTATTCTTGATACTGGTTTTTGGCAGTATTACATTCTTTTTTTTAATGCTCAGAAATTGACTGTTTAATAATTTGCTTAACAGATGAGCAATATTAATATTAAGCTAACCAGCTTGAATTACCTGGATTTGGGGATTCTTTTCCTCCCATTTTTGAAAATAGACATATTTCCTTTTTTTCAGTCACCTGGCAATATATTTATGATTTCTCAGAGATTGCAGATGAAAGAAGTAACTTTGAAGAAAAAATTCATATTAGGCTGATTAAATTACAGTTCTTATGATGTATTGCTATTTTCTATCTTGGATATATAATTTGAAATCAATTATAATGAGAAATGTAATCTGTCTGCTTGGCTGCTAGGTATTCATGAACCAGTTTACTAATATAGATAGCAGATCTACCCTTGGAAGCTGAGGGAAAATGGGGAGGGGGTCTTGTAGATGCTGAAAAGCAGCTACTGGTGATGAGAAATGAGGAAAACAGAACTGTCTATATGCACCATGGGGCCTGTTCTGTAATTCCAAACCTTGTCCATTGTTTTCAGTATTGAGCCTTATTCAAATGCCTTTCTGATCTGTTTCTGCAGTTGTATGTACATCTTGGGGGTTTTTTGGCCTCAGGCATGAAAATTTAGCCAGCCCTCAACAAGAGTTGATATTTGGAAAGGCTATAACATTCCATCTCCTGTCTTTGGAGACAGCATGAAAGAGCATGATTATTCCCTAATCCCACTTCCTCTCCATTACCAAAAGAATGTCTCACAAGGAAAAGGAATCAGACCATGTGGCCGGAGGAAACATTATTGTTGCAAGAACTATGGCACTGGAGATTAGAAACCACCTTAAAGCTCTATAGCTTGAGCCAAATGAAATCAGTTAATTTAAATCAGATGAACTCAGCATTGAATTGTGGCTTTTATCTATAGCAATTTTAACACACATAACAGAACTTTCTGATACAGAAGCATCTGCAGCATCCAATGTTTTCATCAAAGTGACAAAAGCAATGTTGGGCCATCATGACACAGGCTCCTGCTGTTTTGGTACATACATCATGGCTGTGGCCGAGTGTAGTCCAGATTCCAGGATGGAGGAAGTGCATTCCAGAGGGGCAAAAGAAAGTGAAATTGTATGAGAGTCAAGACAGCTCCTCCGTAGAAGTTCTCGGAGTATATATTTAATGGTATAAGTAATCTGTTTTACTTTGGCAAGATTTCTGTCTATAGGTGAGGGACAATAAATAAAAAAGTGTTTCTTGGTTTGTTTGTTTTTAAGAGCCTGGCGATGACATGCATAACAAAAAGAATGAAGATCGCGTTGTGACCATGCAATGCAGCTTTGATCATTTGATCCCACCTCTCCAAATATCTCTGCTTCCAGAGTCTTACTTTCAGAAAAACATGAAAGAGCCTTAATGTCATCTCATCAGATGCCAGTCTCACAAAAATGGAGCTTGGAAGGATTTGACACTCTTCAGTCTAGCAGATGAATATAGGAGAAGATGATATCTTAGATAACCAGATCCAGACCTATGCAGGACCTTAAAATTTAATCAGCACCTTGAATTATACATAGAAACCAACTGGCAACCAGTGCAGTCCTGAAGCAGCCAGATTATTCTGTTATCCTGGGATACTCCCATCGTTGTCAGGCCACTGAATTCTGTACCAGCTATAGCTTCCACATGTTCCTCAAGGCAGCAACATATAGTACAATAATCCAATTGGGAGTAATGTGTGAGTAATCGTTAGCCGTTACCAAAAGACATAACTGTGCAAAAGCCACCTCATCATTTTTATATTTACTCATCAAGCAGGAGCCCCTGAATTGTTAACCATTCATGCATGAGGGAATAGACCTCCATTCAGAATCCAAAATGGTATTTCTCTGGAGTTGTTTGGCCCACAGACACAAAGCTACTCTGTCTTGGAAGGTTTGTTTGAGTCTGTTCTTCCCCATCCAGACCTTGACGGTTTCCTGGCACTGGACCAGCACTTCTACCACATCACAAGTTTGGCCTGGGATCAATAGTAATGGTACTGAACCCTGTATTGATGAATGACGTTGCAGTTTCATGTATTTATTAAGAGAAGTGGAGATAAGATGGATATCTGAAGCATCTCACAAAGTAAAAATCTCCAGGTGGTTCCTCATTCCCATATCCAACTGAAGCTGACCCTTCAGGAAACAGGAGAACCTGCAAAACAATACCTATCCCCACCACCTAGATGCTTAGAACAGGGCTGTCAAACTCCTGGCACACGGGCTGGATGTGTCACACACTGGCCAATGCCACACCTGGTTTAGCGAAGGGGGAAAAAGTCGCGATACATCACGTGACACTGCCATGATAATGTGCGTTTGACACCCCTGCCTTAGAAGCAGACCATGGTTGATTATATTGCAAGCCACTGAAAAGCCAAGGAGAATAGGAAGAATTGCAATCTCCCAATCCCAGTCTCTCTATTGATCATATGCAAATGCAACTAATGCCATTTCTATGCTATACCCTGTCCTGAAACCTGACAGCCATGAGTTCAAATAATCTACTTCCTCCCTGGAGTTGGAGAACCACTGCCCTCTCTACAACCTTTCTTAGAAAAGAAAGTTGGATACAGATTTAAAGGTATCCAAAAATCAAGGAAAGCTTCTTGAATGGGAAGCATGACGCCACCTTTTTTACAGGAGAGAGAAACACACTCTCATTCAAAAAGCATTCATTATTGATCAAGTCTAACCTACTCTCGCCTTACAGGACAGGCAGAGATCCAAATAGAA